TATAGTTTTATATATATATATATATATATATATATATATATGCATGCATGTATGTATATACATATAGATACATACATAAATACACACATACACACATACATATATGTGTGTGTGTGTGCGTGTGTATGTTTGTATGTATTTATGTGTGTGTGTGTGTATTCCCTTCCAAAAAACGCCCCCACCAAAACAAAACAAAACAAAACAAAACAAAACAAAACAAAACAAAACAAAACAAAACAAAACAAAACAAAAATACTCTGAAGCTGCTGCCCTCTCTGGCTACCAGAACCTGCTCTGCTACACAAGGGTGTGAAAGAGGAGCAGAAGGGGCAGACTAGAGGGGAGAGACTGAATGAGTGTATACAGGGGCCAAACCTATCCAGAAGGTGAAAAGGGAAGGGAAAGGAAAGGGGCTGACAGGGAACATTGGGAATTAGGAATAGGAACTATGGTTAGGGAAGAGGGAGCTGCACTGCCAGGCCATGAAGAGGCTGGTTCCTCTCAGGGCTGTGGTGTTAGAGGTCCAGGGTATCTCACTGCTCAGACAGAGCAGCTTTTCTCTATTTGCTTATAGTGCTCACATGCTCTGTTTTAAGGCATTCTGCATCATCTCAAAGATCAGAGCATCTGCGTGTCGTGGGGCGCTGCACCAAGCACACAGGCTTTAGGCTGCTTTGTGGCCAGGACATGCATCTCAGTGGAGGCTTATGCTTGCAACACCCTGACTCTTCATGCCTGGTTCTAGAGGTCCAAGTTTAGCATTTCTAGGAAAGTACAAGGCACCAGTGGAAAGCCTGAACTTTCTGAATTACAATTTTGATGCTTAGTGCACCTTTCCCGGGTGTGAGTATTGTAATGTGTGCACAGGTTCCTATGGTGGGTTAAGGTGGTATTGACCAGTGACTAGAAGGCATGCGTGTGTGTGCATACACACACACACACACACACACACACACACACACACACACACACACACACACACACACACACACACACACACACACACTTTTACAAAACAAAAAACAAAACCACAAAAACCCTCCACTTTTGATGCTTAATTACCAAGCAAGGCCTCAACAGTGAAACTTCCCTCCTTCAGAAATAAATGGATAGTAAGATGTGAACAAAAGATGCTTTAGCACAGTCAGGAACCCAGGGAAAGGGAATCCTGGCCCCACTGATGGTCTGGCCCTGGTTTTCACCGGGCCTGGATTGTGCTCTGGGGGCTAAATCCTGTTCCCCTTTACACGCCCAAATGGCATGTATGCCGTTGTGGAACTGCAGTTTTTGCGCACAGTTTGTAATTCCATGTTAATTTGCATATGAGATAGAGGAGGTAAAATGGAGGAGGAAGCAACACCTGCCACCTTTTAGTCCCATAGCCTAGGGGTTAGGACATTTGCCTAGGGAGAAGAAGACCCAGATTCTAGGCCCTCTTTCACCCAGAGGGGGCCCGCTACACACTGCATTTCACACATATTAGACACACAGCAGTCAGAAAGTTTCTGATGCCCCATTTGGAGCAGAGGCTTGGGTTCCCATCCCTGCCAGGGCAGCATCCATCTCACTGAGGTACACACCCTCTTGGTTGTTCTAATCCTTCTGGCCCCACACACCCCTCTTCTTGCCTACCCAAGGGGGACAACTTGAAGGCGAGAGCTGGAGAACATCTGGATAATGCCTAACCTTCAGCCTGGTCGTTAGAGTACTTGGAAGCAGAAGATGCAGCTTCAAACCTCTTTTGGGTGAGGCAGGGACTAGGACCCCAGTCTCACTGGATAAGGGGTATAACCATGAAGCCTAAAACGTCACAAAGCTATTTCTGATACCACCTCCTCTTCTGGCATCTAACATCAGTGAGTTGGATTTTTCCTGGGACTAAAATTTCAGGACATACCCAGCCCTAGGCATAGACCTGGGCAATCCTGGCAGGAGCACAGTCCCACTGAGCATGCGGAATTGCAAGCTGTGCACAAGGGCCAAAAGCTGCAGTAACCTCATCGGACACCTACCATTTAGTTGCATACAGGGAAAAAGTGCTGAGCCCTGGGACTCTAATACGGTTGATCCACATTTTAGGCACTCCGTTTTCTTGGATCAGTTATTTGGCAAATATCTGCTCTGGTGAGCCTCCCTCTAACCCAGTGTTTCTCAACCTTTTTAGACTCAAGGCATCTCTCATTAGACTCAAGGCTTCCCTCAGAATATGTCAGCTTAGACGATAAGGAAAGAACAGAAGCGTACTCCAGGAGTGCAGGGTGGAGGTGGTTGGTTTGGAGGAAACCTGGGGTGAGGGTCATTACAACAACCCTAATGCCTATGTTACCCTTCATTGTACCCCTGTGCCATGCCCCCATCTTCCCACAATCTGAATAACCAACCCGACTCCTCTCTTAGCCCTTGTTCCCTCTAATTCTGAGCCTCTGCAGCACCCTACTTCCCCACCCCCACTGACACCCCCCAAACTACCTTTCGTGCCCTACCACTTGCTGTTTAAGCCTGTCCCATCACAGTGACAGGAGGATGTGTCCCTAACAGACTGCCCTGGAAGTGTGAGGCTGCAGCACTGGCCTGGGAAATGTGATCCGGGACCAGGGAGAGCTGGTGTTAACCCTCCATTGCACCTGGCCCTCTCTCCTAGGCCTGGGTGCTTTCCCTGCAGAGGCAGCCGAGTGCCTGCTATGAATAACAGGAAGGGAAACGCTCTGGCCACTGCATGAAGCTAAAAGGCTTCCGGGCTCAGGAAAGTGAAACTAGCTTGCAGCTTCTGTTCCCATCTGGGGAGGGGCCATGGCTGCCTGGGATTTTGCAGGGAGCTTCAAGGAAGAAGCAACTTGCTCGGTGTGCCTGGACTATTTTACAGATCCAGTGACTATTGACTGTGGGCACAACTTTTGCCGCACCTGCATCAGTGAGTGCTGGGGAGGCTCGGGGCCAAACTTCTGCTGCCCCCAGTGCAGGGAAACACACCAACAGCAAAACCTCCGGCCCAACAGGCAACTGGGGAACATGGTTGAGCTGGTGAAACGACTGAGGCTGCAGGTGGGGAAAGAGCCCAAGGGGCAGCGTGTGTGTGAGAAGCACCAGGAGGCTCTGAAGCTCTTCTGCAAGGAAGACGAAGCCCTGATCTGCGTGGTGTGTGATCGATCCAGGGAGCACCGAGCTCACACTGTGGTTCCCCTGGAGGAGGCTGCCCAGGACTACAAGGTAGGGAAGGGCTGTCCCCAAGCCTGGGAACACATACCCAGCTTCTCGGCCATCACATGGCCCCCGTGTGTGTCTGATCAGCTCGGGGCTGGAGCCAGGACCTGCCTGATAATGGGTCCTAGGTATGACCCTGGGAGTGAAAGAGCTTGGGGGGGGGGAAGGGCAGGCCTAGGCTCTGGCTTGGGATTGTCCAGGGTGCTGGGATCATACTCTCCCACCAGCCTGGACATGTGGGAAATGCTCATGCAGCCTCCATCTGAGCAGAGAGGATTTTATTGCTGGGAACAAACGAAATCAGGAACTAGAGCCATTTTCTTTGTTTGTAGGAGCAAATCCTAAGCCGCCTGGAGCATCTGAGGGAGCAGAGGGATAAGCTGCAGGGCTTGAAGTTTGCGTGGGAGCAGGAGAGTGAAAGGTTCCTGGTAGGTGCCTGGCACTGGGGTGTCAGCACTGGCAGCAGATTTCAGTGCTGCTCAGTGGAGTCGGGAGGGAGGGAAGGATTTTCTGGGGCTCTGCCAGTGGGTCAGGCAGGGCGGCTGGCTGAGGGAAGGCTCTTCAGTCATGGATGAGTCAGGGCAGCACGGTGCTCTCAGGGCCTTGCCCTGCTAGCCCCTGCCTTGCAGGAGAGAGCTCAAGCATCTTGGAGCTGTGAGAAAGCCTTCTCTCAGCCAGGCAAGGGGTCACCCCCAGAAACCCCCCAGGAGGGACCTTGTGGGGCTGGAAGGAGGTGCTTCACATAGCCTGGAAAAGGATTGGACCCCCATCTCATTCTCCTGTCCCTGCCCTGCCCTCCGACGTGTCTCTCTGCCCATCCCAGAGGCAGACGGAGCTGGAGAGGCAGTGGGTGATGTTTGAGTGCAAGGGCCTGCGCCAGCTCCTGGCTGAACACGAGAGCCTTCTGCTGGCCCGGCTGGGAGAGCTGGACGAGGAGATTGTGATGAGGAGGGAGGAAAATGTTGCCCGCCTGTGCGAGGAGACTGCCCGCCTGAGGGCCCTGATCACAGAGCTGGAGGGGAAGTGTCAACAGCCAGCGCATGAGCTCCTGCAGGTGAGACCACATCAGCTGTGCCCAGGTGGGAAGATGATGGTTTTGAGTCCCTGGGAACTCCCGAGAGGACCCAGTGCGGAGGGCGCAGCCTGGGGTGTCTGTAGGGTCAAGGGCCAAAGCTGCAGAGACAGGAGTTGGAGCAGTTGGGGAGGCAGGGGCAGGGTGAAAGGCTGCACCAGCCCCAGGGCCGGGTGGAGAGGGATGCCCCATCCCTGCAGAACAACAGGTGTGAACGGGCCTCTGCTCCCCTTGGTGCGAGGATTGCCTGGGCTGGGCCATGGCACTGACTTTCTGTTTTCTCTCTCATTCCCTTCCAGGGTGTCAGAAGCGCCGTGAACAGGTACATCTAGGCTCTGTCTGGCCCTGTGTGCCACATTGGCCAAGGCCAGGCTGCAGCTTTAGCCCCAGCGCTTGATAGTGGGACAGTCACCCCTCTGGATCCAGCCTCCTCCATCCCCAGGGTCCTGGGGCTGATGCTGCTGTTACCCTGCGACCCAGCAGCCCTGGGCTAAGTAAACCTCTCCCTGGTGGCTAGGCTGGTTCAGGGAATTATTAATGGAGCTCAGGGCCTCCCACCCTGGGGTTCTGGGAGAGACCTGTAATAGCTGAAAGTCTGCCTGTCTGAGGGGCTCAGGGGTGTGTGGGGAGAAAGCTGAATGCCTCAGCACAGGCTGTGGCAATGCAGTGTCCATAGTCTTGTTTCTGAGTGAACTTTTGCTTTATGAATCACATGAATGTGAAACCAGGGTACAGGCTCTGCAGAGACTGCTGACACTGTCATTCTAAAACTTGTGACTTGACGGTGTCAGGTCTGGGGGGCACGATGGGGAGTTGTGCCCGGGGTGTTAAGCCTGGTGTTTCTGACAGAAAAAAATGCAACTGTTCTGAAATAGCAACCAGCTGATTATAGTTTCATCTTTAGTGATTTTTATGTTTTAGGAATTAGTGAATTGACTTCTCCAATAAAGTGCGCACACTATACTTTCAGTAGGTGCAAAGGAACTCGCACAATAGCTCAGCTCTTAGCAAATGAAAATAGCTTTGCTTATAAATTCGCCTATGCTACACTCTAAACCATACCAAAGTCTCCATACCAGTACCTTACACCCATGGCTGGGAACCAGCTAATTATACAGGCACCGAATGGCTCATGAGGCTGAGTCTCTGTCTTGTGGGTCCAGCACTT